TGGTATATAAATCATTGTTTGTAATAACTATTTGTAATAACTGTTATTGTAAATTGTGTTATTGGTTGTATATTAAAATATATTTGTATTAAAAAATAAAAACTTTGTATATCAATCTTGTGAGCAAATATCATAAATTGGATATATATCGGGATTTATTTAACTACTAAATCTAAATTACAATTTAACTCCGTTTTAGGCTATTTGAAATTGTAATACGTAACAACTATTAAAGCTAGTTTACTACCTAGATACTACTGTATGTATTCAGATGATGTATTCTAAAACCAACCTCAGCTCCGTAATCGGGAAGAGGCTGATGCCGCTCCTGGTGGACCCCCAAGGTAGAGTTTAAATGTATAAGCAATCGGACAAATATTTTGAGTTTAGTAGCCATTTCAACTTTGCCTCATTAATGCAGCGAATGAGGGGTCAATTGGGCGAGGAATTTGGCAAGGAAATAAATAAAACCGATGTCAAACGAAAATGATAGTTAATACAGTTTAATTCCGCGGGTAGTGCAGCACAGGTACTTTTGTATCGGACAAACGGTTCGTGTGCTACAGCTCCAAATAGTAGAAGGGGCGTCCCACGCCCTCATATATACCACTACTTGGTAATTATGAAAGCTTATGAGTAAGCCCGACATTGCCGAACATTTTTCCTAGTATTAAAATAAGTGTTTAAGAAATATGTGTAGATATATATGTATAGTGAAACTTAAAGGCGACAGTATTTAGTCGATATTTTGTATAGTAACTCATCACTGTTTGTATACGCATTACCAGGGTATACACAGTCTGTTATATATTTCAGGAGAGATCTGCTTGTTAGGGTAAGTTGTCGTTCATAGCACATACGATTAGGCTTACTTCATAATATTACGATTCGTTTACCACGATGCTCTAGTTGTGTGGGGTTAATAACTTCCATCTTGTTTGAACATCCAGTTTACACATCTACGCCTGTCTTTCCACCCAACTCTCCCAATATAAGGTTTTATCAATGGTGGTTTTGACCAATAACATCTGTAATATCTATAAAACTATATTTGACTGTTAATAATATCTATATATCCTCTAGTATTAAGGACGACACCAAATACAATCAACTGGACACCTTACCCAATACCAAGAAAACTCAAGAAATAGTTGTGAAGAACTTGGCTAAATCAATTTCGATGAAATTTGAGAGATGAATTTAGGTTGACCTCAAGGGCGGCGGCAAAGGGAGGCTTACTGGGGCAGAAACTTCCCCAAATGTGCCTTAGCCTCCCCTATAGTCCCCGCATCTATTAAAATTTGAACTAGAATTTTAGAATTTGACAACGGTGATGAAGGGAATGTTTCATAGTATGTTGAAGTGTTAAGATGTGCAGTACATATGGGCTTAAACTAGTTGCTATGTGTAACACAGTTGGATTTTTATCCAAGAAAATGATGTTGAAAGCAATATTGAAATATTGAATTTTTATACACGAAACAAGATGTTAGAAAATATCTATCAGTTGAGGTAAGGATTAATCCTAGAGGCATTTTAATGATCAAACTAAACGCCTAGCACACCTTCTCTTTTCTCACAAACGAGTTTAACAAAGTCAAAATTGTGGATTTTTAGTGGTCACTAACTTTTCTGTGATATTCCACAAGATGTCGCCACAGAGAGTATTCTATACTATGATTGCTTAGTGTTTGTTTGTAATTAAGGAACAAAGCTACACAATGGGCTATCTGTGCTCTGCCCACCATAGGTATTGAAACACGGTTTCTAGCGTTGTAAGTTGGCAGACCTGTGGTTCGTTAACACCATGCAGATATTTCACTCTGACTAATTTTGACGTGTTCCCAACCAGTCTATCTTAACTTCAAAACACACGAGCTGCAAACTTTCTATACACATATGGTATCGCATGTTTCAATAACTGGTAAATGTGTCACTAGGGGGCGACTGCTTAGTATTCCGTTTCGTTTGTTCGCTTAATTTATAGCGCAAAGCTCTACAATAAGCTATCTGCGCTTCGTCTATCACGAGGAATCAAGCTGTTAATCAACGAGACAGTGAAAAGCGAACACTCTTGACCATTGAGGTTAAAAGCCAGCCTACTAACTATTATTTATAAGACCTTTTTTAATTACTAGACGCTGGTGGTAAAATACTTTTTACTTACTAGCTATTGTTGGTAAAGCACTTTATACCTACTCAAATCACCCAACTATGACAATCTTAAATGTGCGAAGTGTTTATTATCGTTAGCGCTTTTTGCAGTAATGAAGCTTATCTTTAATGGTCCGTTGTTTTTTGACAAAATGAACAGTTTTGTAAGATAAAGTATTTTGCCATCAAATGGTTAACATTAACATACTCCTAAAACAAAACTGTTTTGGTGAGCGGGTTTTTCTTGTTCAGATTATACGGTTGACGACAAGCCATATTGGAAAAGCGTATCTTCCGAAATATTTCTGCTAATCGTATTTTAATGATTAGTTTTGAAAAACACTGTGAAATGAGTCGCTGAAAGCTATAAGTATTGAATAGGGAGGCTGTGAGTATTGTTTAAATGGGATCTAATGACCATAATTTGCGCAGGAGAAAAAGTAAAATATCAAGGCGACAGTTGATTAATATTGTAGGAGTGAGTTCTTTTTATCACTTAGTGTTCTTTTTACCATGAAAAATAAAAGGTCCGGAGCTACATGGGCATTCAAAGAGAACACGAGTATGATCATATCTTGCGAGAGTGATGGATTTTGATCTGAATGTTAAATAATTAAAGATAATAATGTTTTCATTAAAATTATATGGAGAATTACATTCCATCAAGCTGACAAACAATTGGGTTCTGTTTAGTTAAATGATGATCGATTAAAAAAAAAAATCTAATCGTCATTAGTCTAATGAACTCTTTATTACAATAATTCAATACACCAGTAGTTGTATTTGGGAAACATTTTCTCTGATTTGTAAATGGAAGGTTTAACAACTACTACAACGGAGTTGTTGAATGCTGAAAGGGGTGCTAGTAAGGCTTAGAACGGAAATATATTTCAGTAAAAGTTTTATTCTTCATAGGCTTTTTTTAATAGTGAATCTTCAATTTATTTCAGACAAACGTCTGAACTTCATTAATATGGCCTAGCTGTTAGGGCACTCGACTTGCAATCTGCGGTTCACGAGTTCGATTCCCGTCAACGAAGACACTCGTTCTTTCGGCAGTGGAACTTGTTATAGCGTGGCTGTCAAACCTACGAGTGGTTGGTAAAGAATAGCCCAAGAGTTGGCTAGTTCTCTGTCTCTGCTTCATTTTGTCATTTCTTCTAAGTACAGCTATTTCTGTTCTCTCTTCTCCACATCTTTTTTTACCTTCTCTATTATTTTGTTATTATTTTTCTTGTACAGTTTTTTTTCTACCTTTCCATTTTCTATCCTTATCGCGTTTAATTCACCTTATCTTCAGACATTTTTCAATAACCCCCTACTTATTGCTGGCAAGGCACTTTGTACATGTAATTCAACTACGATAGTGTTCAATGTATGAAGTGTTTATTAGGTTTTTCTGATGTTTTGTTACAAGTATTTTACATATTCTATTTGTATTATCTACAAAATTATTTTCCTTCTTCTGTACGTTTCTTTTTCTTATAGTTTTTTTATTTTTTTAAAACTTATCTTCTCTCTCTCTTCAGGCCGGGCGTATCATAGAGATAACAGTGGCAATACTGTGAATTCTAGAGTTCATGGTTCGCATCCTGTCGCCGCAAAAAAAGAGGTCCGTATTTTAGGACCGTTGGGGAGCTTTAACAGTGACGGTCAATTCCTACTATTCGGTTAGACGAGAGTACCTCAAGAGTTGGCGGTGGGTAATGTTGAGTAGTTCCTTCACTCTAGTCTCTGAACTCGAAATTATGGACGGTTATGCGATAGCTTTTGTGTAACTTTCTGCGAAATATGAAACAAAACATTTTATTCAGACATTTTTTCTCAACTTAAATACCTTCTTTTCCCTCTGCATATTTTTTCGCTTTTTGTACACGTACCCTCCAGTGGCACAGTGGTATGTCTGCGGACTTATACTGCTAGAAACTGGGTTTCGATACCCGTGGTGGGCAAAGCACAGATAGTCCTTTGTACAGCTTTGTGCTTAATAACAAATAACAATTGTATACGTTTTCATTTTTATTTCTTACATTTTGTTCATTTTACTTTCAATCCCTACACACTTTTCAACTTCTGTTATGTTGTTTTCTTTGTATTTGTACTTTTCTAATAATATAGTTACAGCCATGGTTCAGATTCATTTCCCAACTAATATATTTTAGCAAATTTCATACATGATCTCTTCTGGTTATCTTCATCTAGTAACTGTGAAGGTAGAGTTTTCTAGTTATTAACCTGGATTTTTTCATTCTTCCTGTGAAGCTAGAGTTTTCTAGTTATTGAACTGGGTTTTTTCATTCTTCCTGTAAAGCTAGAGTTTTCTAGTTATTGAACTGAATTTTTTTCATTCTTCCTATAAAGCTAGAGTTTTCTAGTTATTGAACTGAATTTTTTTCATTCTTCCTATAAAGCTAGAGTTTTCTAGTTATTGAACTGAATTTTTTCATTCTTCCTATAAGGCTAGAGTTTTCTAGTTATTGAACTGGATTTTTTCATTCTTCCTGTAAAGCTAGAGTTTTTTAGTTATTGAACTGATTTTTTATTCTTCCTATAAAGCTAGAGTTTTCTAGTTATTGAACTGGATTTTTTCATTCTTCCTATAAAGCTAGAGTTTTCTAGTTATTGAACTGGATTTTTCCTTCTTCCTGTAAAGCTAGAGTTTTCTAGTTATTGAACTGAATTTTTTCATTCTTCCTATAAAGCTAGAGTTTTCTAGTTATTGAACTGAATTTTTTTCATTCTTCCTATAAAGCTAAAGTTTTCTAGTTATTGAACTGGATTTTTTCATTCTTCCTGTAAAGCTAGAGTTTTCTAGTTATTGAACTGAATTTTTTTCATTCTTCCAGAATTGCTGGGCTCCAATAAGAGAAGCAGTATTAACATTCAGGATCCTGATGGGTGAGTTGCCTCATTCAATTATTAATATAATATCGTGTTATTATTCTTCAGTAAATTTTGCTTATTTTCCTTTAAGTAGTTTATTTCTCTACAAGTGTTTAACATTTTGTAAGTAAAATGAAAAATAATTTATCAGTGTCTGTGTATGTGCACAAAGGCAAGTTTGAAATATTCAGTTTTATTACTTGCAGTGTGTAACAACGGATATGTTACTTGTATGTTATTGTTTGCAAAATAGTTTTCAATAAATGTGATTTGTGTGTGCGAACGCAAAGCATTCACAATTTTTAGAACAATATCATCTCGTAAAATGTTTACAAAAAAAACAACAGATTACCCATTGTGGTTTAGTTTGTTAAATGTTGCCACATGATATAATTGGCCTCCGACCTCGAAATGTATATAAACAGTTGATTTTAATCTGTTTAACCTATTTAAGCATTTGATTGTAACCTATTTATACAGTTTTATTTAACTTGTTTATCTGTAATCTGTGTTCTTATATCACGAGTACAAAAACTGTCGCTTTAGAAATTTTAGAAAAAGCTTTACAATTGAACATTCGAGACCTGCTATTTATTTAACGTAAGTGACTCTCAGAAACAGAAGTGTCTCTTTGAGTTATTATTTCCCAAGGCTTCTTTTACATATATTTATTTCCACTGAAAATGGATGAATCATATTTAACTTTCACGTTTTTTACTAGCATGTAATCCCTGACAAAGTCAGAGCCGTGGCATTTTTACGACAGAAAGAGCTCCAGATATCTGTTTTCAAATTTACCCAACATTACCAGGCCGAAGCTGAAGGGTGTTATTTTTACCTACGGTTGTCAATAATTCCACGTTAACTATCATCTTAGCCCCTGGTGGAGGAAATTTTTGTATAAGCACCCAATGAAAGATTGCCTTTTGAAGCATAAAAATGCTATAAAACAACATCTGCTAGCTGTAAAGTTGCAGCAAGATGAGATTTCAGCGAGATTCTCCTCCTTGTTATGTGTTAACCAGAATACAGACAAAAACGATTGGTGTAAATTTTAAGTGTGGAATTAAGGAACAGTGTATCGTAACTTTATATAATTGCTTAATCTTTATAGTTGTTAGTTCTTACTGTAAAAATGTCTATACACAAGGACATTAATATCTTTGTGATGATCAGTTTTGCTTTGAGCTGTATCGAGTTTTGTTCCATTTGGTAAAATTATTGAAAACAAAAATAAGATATTTTTGTTTTGTTGATTTTAATTACTCTTGTTCTTGTAATACCCCCCTACAGTTTTAACAACATTTTACCAAACTTCGAACGATCTTTGGTTAGTCGACATCTGCTTAATTCTATGGTGTTCCCCCTCTTTTTTTTTTGAGAGAGTTATTCCTTCTGTATTGAAATTTACAATTAAAGATGCTCTAATATTATGTAATCGCTTCCTTCTAGAACTTTTCGGATGATTGATGCCGAAGATGTAGGCATGCTAGCTAAGAACTTGACATGTAGCTTTAATGCATGATTTTTGTCTATGTGACTATGATTGTATTTATACATTTTTCTGAGTACGAGCTTACACAGCTATTCTTTTGGATGACCATCTACCAAACTTACGAAAATTATTATTGTGATCTTAAAACACAGAAGCTAAAGATACGTTGTCAGGGTCTCAGACTTCAAACATTTTCCTTTTTTATACTTTGTTTTGCCCAATAATAGATAAGTTATTGACCTTAGTTGTTAATAACGCTAAACATGGCGTTAAAGGTGAAGATTACGTAGATATCAAATGGTTTTGGGTTTATTGTTTCAAATATTTTAAGCAATGAAAATACATGTTCTAATTGTGCTGATTTGAGATTTTAAAAGCCAAGGACCCTGATTCAGTATGACTACCGAGGCCGTAAATATAGGTCACAAAAAGGGTAATTAAACTTTTTATGGTTTTATATTGATTTGTGTCTTAACCTTAAAGTGGCTTCAGGGTCAATATCACAGAAAATAAAAATGAACTTGTAAAGTTAACACTCAAACGTGTAATATTCTTTTTGTTTTTATTTCAAATCATCTGCTAACCAAAGCATTGCCTACCTTACTAACAAAATTTGTGAGATGTTTACCTTTCGGATGGATGGCACGTTTGAGCTACATTTTATTTGTAAGCTTGATATTAAAATATTTTAGTCAAACACAATTAGCGATGAAACGGAATATCCATAAAGATTTTTATTGGGACATTTGATAATATTAATAATACGAATACAGAATGAATCAAGGAATATATCAGGCTTCAACGTCACATATTATATTTTCGATTTTACCTTTGGTGAAAGTAATCTGTAATATTAGAATGAGCATCTCGAATTTTAACTATGAAATTTCGTAAGTACAGAAACAAATACAGGTATCAGTTAAGTCATGTAAAAAACCAAATTGAATATTCTCAGGCAGAAAAACAACATCACATTAGCTTACCGTTTTTTCACATTCAAGTTAGTAATAAACTGTTTACCAAGTTACCGAGAAGGTAGTACTCATTCTCTTTAACAACCCGCTGACAGATATTTATTCTAAACAAATACACATGATACTAAATGCAGATGGATATATATGTCCATCTGCATTTAGTATCATG